CTACCATGCTCATCTCATCGATTATCAAGTACTTCACATGACGCCATTCATTTTCCAATTTCGTATCGCCAGGTCTAAATGTACGGGTTTGTTTCTTTTTACTGTTTTTGCGACTTTCACCTAAAAATGAATGGATAGTTAATCCGTCAATTTCAGCTGCTGCTATAGACGTTGGTGCTAGTTTACGCAACATCTTGTCCCTCTTGGTTACTTGGAAATATTTGGTAATTGCACGAATCAACTGAGATTTTCCAGTACCACCGCAACCAGGTATGCACATTAATAACTGATTATCGATAGTATCTAAATATCCAGACTATTCAAAACTTTCAATAACAAAATCAATAAAATATTATATACCGGTATAAGCATGATTTTCGCCATCTAAGTGACTAGTTATAATCATAAAAGCATATTTTTGCTGAGTGCTTAGTGTAAATTGTCTGATAATATCTTGTTTTGTTGGAAATAATATTGCATTGGTTGTAGTCACAGGTGGAACTCTTGTAGCTCTCGTTTTAATAGGACTTGTTGGAATTTCAGTGGCTACGACTTCAATCTGTGTTTCATCATCTCGTATTTCCAGAGTACCTTCACCTGAAATTAAATAGTTTCTTGCTTCATCTCGTCGACCTTCAATGTCACGTTTCCACCCTTTAATCATGACGCTGTGATGTGCGTGGGCTACCACAAATGTGTTGATGTCGTGTATGGTGCCATAATTATTTTGGTCCCAAATGTGTCTGCTGTCTAAATCAAAACAAAATATTTTCGAAATATAATAGTAATTAACTCACCATTTAGTAATGCAAATCTATCTGTATTATCAATTGCTTGTAATGCATCATGAACATAGCGTTGTTCTTGAGTAGCTGTCAATGCAGAGTAAGCGTTTGTCGTGATCTCATTTACGATGGAGAGCATTTGCAAAAGTTGTTCAGGATCGTCTTCTTCTGCATTTTCGCCGCCTTCATAGTAATTAGGCATCAAAATAGGGTCAATGCTGTTGTCATTTTGGGCTTCTAAAAGAACTTGATGAAGATGTTCATCCCGATCGTGTTTGCATTCGTGCAAAAGTTGTATATTTTCTATAATCTTAAGCGAATTGGGAGAGATCAATAGCCTTCGAGCTTCCAATGCTTCAGACCATGTCTCATTCGTTGCACAAAGGTTCTGGACTGATCGCCATGGCACGAATAATGTTAACAACGCGCGACAATAACGTTCATGTGTTTCTTCTCGTTCGCGGCGAGGTATTTGAGGACCTATCAGAACTGGTACTACTGGAATGGAACGTTTAATTATGAGATGAGATGTTGATTGTGGATGTGCGCTGTCAAATGTATGACGTTCATTCATTCTCGTTCCTTCTGTAGGTAATTGTTGGCCTTGAGAATCGATTACATTTTTTAGTAAATGACGATCTGATTTGTCGATAACCTTCTTGTGAAAATGGCTCACAAAGTCATATAAGCATAATGCATTCAGATCCTTTGATCGATGTTGATAGTCAAGACGAGTATTGACCAAGACATACTGATCGCCACTGTTGGTTTTTGTGGGTTCTAATAAAAATTGTTCTTCGATTTCGTTCTTACCTTCTCCTTGTTCATCGTAGAAAGGCATTGAAGTCTCTAGAAAACTACATATTAAAAATCTATACAATTATTTTAAAAAGTTCTACCATCTATTCTTTCTTCAACAATTTCTTTTTCGTTAATTCGTGCTTTATTTAGTTCTGTTTGTAGATAGTTTTCGATTGAAATAAGAAAAAGATTTTTGAACGTATGTGTAGTGTAGTGGTCACCATAGTTCATTAGATATGATGCAACTTGAACACCTGAAACTTCTTGTTGTGAAGAAATCATGTTGAAGCAGCGTAACACTAGTTTACGCGATTTGTCAACAATATTATCTGTGCTATTAGAAATTCGTTCATGCTCGATAGATTTGATGCCTTGTTGTGCAAGTGCAAACATATCGTAGAAGGCCAGATTAGACTTTGTCACGTAGTCAGTTATATAGTACACTAATGCTTTAGCG